AAAAATTTTAAATTTTCCTAAAAAAATAGAAAAATTTCATTTTAATCCGATTTCATTTTAATCTGCCACATTAATTAATAATTGAAATTTATATTCGTCGAGATAATGGAACTCTTAAAATTTGCCGGAATAATTCTTTTATTATATATTACATACTATTATTATCGATATTTTACTCGTCCAAACCCTCTCCCTGGTCCATTTCCACTACCATTTATTGGTACACTTGTTCAAATTGGATTAAACCCTTGTAAATGGGAAGAAAAAAATTTAAATGAATCTATTGATATTTGGGAATTTTATGCTGGACCTTTTCGAGTTATAGTTCCTTGCCACGCGAAATATGTTGATAAAATTTATATGTCATATAATAAGTCAAAAAGTTTATCTAAGGAATCAAAGTTTTTTAAACGTAACATTGCTGCTCATGATGAATTTGGAATACTAAATGGAACAATATTTAATAATGATTTACATAAATGGAAACGAAGTCGACAATTTGTCACTAAAGTTTTAATGTCAAAAAAATATCATATTGAAGTTATAAATAGTGGTCAAAAGATATTTAAAGAATTTGAAGAGCAATGGGATAAAAATGATGTTACAACCTTAGATTTTTCCAAATGGATAGCTTTATATAAAGCAAAAGTAACAATGACTACTATTATTGGACAACCATTATATAATTTGCCAATTGATTCAATTTCCAAAGCTGCTGCTGAATACGTTGCAATGTTTGCTTTCTTAGTCTTTATACCAAAAATTATTAGCAGTATTTTTATGCGCTTTGGTTTTAATGATATGAAAAAGAAATCTGTTTTCTTGAATGGTACAATCAGTAATATTATTAAGAAACGTAGGGATGAGATTAAAAATGGATCGACAACAAATTTTAATTTATTAGATCTATTGTTAGTTATTAATTCATCAAATAATTGTGAAAATAATTCTGAAGAACATATTATTGAGGGCGAACAACCTATGAATAATGAAGAAATTGAAGCCAATCTTGCTGAAATCACTGCTGTTTCTATTGAAACGGTATTTATCAAAATTTTAATTAATTTAAATCAAATCAAATATATGAATGCTAACCAATATTTAATCAATATTTAATCAATATTTGTGTAATAGACCGTCACTGCTTTTTCTTTTCTTGTTTATAATATTGTTAAAAATCCTTTAATTCTTGAAAAACTTTGTGCAGAAATCTTTAAAGTATTTGGCTCAGATACAAGCTTAATAATTACCTACGAAGCTCTTGAAAGTTGTCGTTATTTAGATGCTTTGATCAAAGAAATGTTACGTCATTTTAATCCGGCACCACTTAATTTACGTGTGCTTGACGGTTATGAAAGTACAGGAGACTATAAATGGTCACCTGGAACATGGTTCTTTGTTGATAATCACCGAATAATGAATAATCCTAAATATTGGAATGAACCATTGAAGTTTAATCCTGATCGATTTCTCAGTGAAGAACATGGAGGCACCGGCGAATTTAGCAATATGTGTGAAAATGGATATGTACCATTTGGTGGAGGTTTAAGAATATGTCCAGGAAGAAATAACGTATTTACTGAGCTAAAATTACTTGCAGTATTGTTTTTTAGAAAGCATAATATTGAGCTAGTAAACAATGAATCAATTAAATATATTTATAGGGGAACTAATCAAGTTCATGACTTTATGGTCAAAATATCTCAAAAAAAATAATCTATAATTCTTTTGATTTAAAGATAATATATTCTGTAATTCTTTTGAATTTAAAGATTAATTTTACCATTTACTAATTATCAATTTTGTTAAAGTTGACACTTTATAATTGCATTTTATAATGGAATCTTTTTATAATTGTGTATAAAACATTTGATGCGACTAAGCTGTATAATTGTATCCAATTGTTTTTTGATTTGAATGTGAGATTTTACCAAGAGAACTAACAAATTTTCTACTTCAATAATAAAGGGATAAAAAACAACACCTTCTAGTAATTTTTGAGATGTTTCAGTTTGCTCTAA